GCGGGAACTGATTCAACGGCATCGGAGGCGTCAGCCTACGGCCTCGCGAGCTTGATTGAGCGGTATCGTGTAGAGGCGACTGTGCTAGGACGGCTCTACGAGTTCCCCGGCGGACGCCGAGTTTTTCACATCTTTGTAGCCCCCTGATTGTACTCTCTCTCTCTCTCTCTCTTTCTCCATTGTGCATCCACCTATCGTGCGCACCCCACCCCCTGTATTGGTGGCGGTCTCGCTTTGCGCACCTTCGGGTTTCACCGTGCGTGCTTGCTCTCTTACTGTCTCCCCGCAGTGTGCATCGCACCCGTTTTGCTGCGAGTTGTGCGCTCGTTGCAATTCTTCGCCTCGTGTGAAGTCAGGTCATGTTCGCCGTTGTGTCTTCGCCGAGTGTGGAGTTCTGAATTCAGCAACTGCGTCTATGCACAAGTCTCTTTGCATATTGCAGTCCCCGCCAGGTAAAGGTAATTCCACCGGCCCCCCTCCATCAGAGCATGCCACTTTTTCGGCGCTTGCATTCTCAGCGCAGACGCCCATCGCGAGCGGTGCACTTCGGCTTCTGCCCAGCACGGAAAGTGGAGCTCCGCTTGCAAACAGTGCTACCTGGTCATGTCGCACCGCCGCCTGGCCTGGAGACGGCGTGCAACGTCGATCCTGTAGATGCTGTGCTCCATGGCTTCGGGATGACGAGTGAGCGAGATGCGAAGACGGCGCCGGTCCATGCGCATAGTTGGACGCGCGAACTGACATTGCCTTGCTGTGCGCTGAGAGGGGGAGTCCGACTGAAGAGCGGGTCTCTTCGAATGAGGATGTCCAGACCTCATGGTTCCACCTGGTGGATTCCTGAACCCGACGGGGCCCGACAAAGCTCGGCGCAGTCCGACGGAGGCCCGACGGAGCGCGACGCGGCCCGACGGAGCCCGGCGCCGCCCGACGGATCCCGACGCGGCCCGACGCAGCCCGACGGAGCCCGGCGGAGTTCGACGCCGGCAGTTCCCCGCGCAGTATTGTCGACTGTCGTGCCCCTGACGTGTCAGAAAGTTGTGCAACCAGGGGCTGCGTCGGTCGTGGCCAGTCGTCGCCATCTCCCCCAGCCTGCGGATGAAGTGGGGCCCTCTTCGACGGACGGACACAGATGGGAGCCTTGCGTGCTCGAAGTGTTGCGAGCCAGATGGGTCCGGGGTCTGGTGTCCAGATCTTGCGCATTCTCGTGGCCAGCTTCGACCCGCATAATATAAGCTGGGTGATGATGGCGAGCGGACTTTCATGATCAGTAGGAAGATGAATGAACGGTAAACCGAGGATGACCTGGTAACCAGGCGTTTCTGCAGTGGCTCGAATTGTCGCGCGATCCCTCGAGGGAACCAGAGGGACGTACTGTCGTCGTGGAGTGGAGCTTTGGTGTCAGATTTGAGATGCTCAGGTCTCTGGGGGTCAGTGACCTGCCTGATATATTTGTCCGGTCGGAAATTTTGGGACGAAGATCCGCCCGCATCACGTCTGATATTTCCAGGGGGATTGGCAGTTACCTCCAGCATAGAGGGGTGACGCGGGACTTTAACATTTGTGCGCCCCGAAGGCCCCAGGGCATCGCTCATGACTCAACAGTGTATGCCGTCATGCTTGTCTGCAATGGTCTACGATTGTTTGTTGTTCCTCCCTTCCCACTCTGTCCCCGCCCGCCCCTGCCGCCTGGCTCTTCGGGCTTTCCCGGGCTTGGCTCCGCTCTTCCGCTCCTTTTGGCTCCTCGTTAGTGATGTTTACAAGTGTCTACATTTGTGCAATTCTGATTGTTCTGAATGTGTTGTGCGCCTCGCGCTTGGACAGGGGGCCCTGTGCTCCTTGTAGTCTGGTGTTTGGGTTCCATGTAACCTCAGACGAATTTTGTTTTATGTACTGATCACCCCTTGGTCGATCGACTTGCTCACCGATTCTTGGTCAACTGGGTTGGTAGACTTCAATATCAAAGCTGTGAGTCGTCTGATCGGCTGCTAGCCGCGGCTGGTCCAAATCGGCCGTTGCTGGAGAACAGTTGACAGTCTTGGTGCATCCACGATTCCACATTCTTTTCTGGCCTGTGTATTATCTTTCGTAATGTTCGTAGTTTTCTTGCTCGCGCTCCTCCACCCGTCTCCCACCAACGCCCATTCGCGTCATGCTCTTGTGGTTGTTGTGCGTTACTCTTGGGGCGGCGTCTCCTGCGCTTTGGTTTCGCCCAGCTTCTTAATGGCAATCCGGTTGCTCCCGAGCGTGGTGGTGGTGCTTCTGCGATGGCCGGCGCCCCAGTGCGTCTTGACTTGAGCCTGGAGCTTCTCGGTTCCTGCCGTTGCTGGCCGCAAGCAGCAAAAACTTTGGTTGATGGTTTACCGCGGGCGCCCAGTTTTGGATTTCACAAGTCTGCCCAGTTTCAAATGACTCGTGGAGCTTCCCAGATAGCGAATCAGCGGAAGCTAAGAGTAATGAGGGATAACTCCAGGGCTAGGGAGTTGGCTCGGAAAAAGTCGACGAACAAGTTGAAGTCATTTGCCCAGTTGAAGACTATGTTCGAAGATCTCTGGCAGCTTCGATGTTCTTCCTGTCCGCCATCTTGATCTCAGGTCGATGGGAGTATTTGAAAGGTGGAAACCTTCTACTGTGGCAACTCGCTCTGGGACCATATTATGTCCGTGCCTATGTGTTGCGGACTTAATCTCGATATTTAGAGCAGCTATTGAGCTCTTGATCCACTGGCCTCGAAAGCGTTTCTCTAGAACCTCGGGGGGCTTTATATCTCATACTCGAGCTAAGACCGAAATTATAAAATCACTCAGCAACCGCTCTTGCTTCATCAAATGCGTCGACTTGAGACGTCTTGAGATTTAGTGGAGCTTCGAAGGTCTCGATTGCACGAGTAGATTCGGCAGGCTCGAACGCATTGGCCTACAGCCTCGAGAGGGCTGAGATCGGTCTTCTACTCGAGCTGTGACCAAACAACTAATCTCACCCTGCAGGCGCTCTTGCTATTTCATCATATGCCGATCTGGACAATCTTGAGGTTTTAAGCAGCTACGGAGCCTTCCATTGCACGAGTAGGTTCGGTAGGCTCAAAAGCATCCGCCCACGGCTTCTAGAGGCCTGATATCGGTTTCTTTCTCGAGCTATGACCGAAACAATAGTTTCACTCTGCAAGCGTTTTAGCCCAAGGTTTCCATCCTGAATGCTCGATTCAGAATATCTCCGTCGTGCGTGTCAGTTCGGTGATTCCAGAGCTCTTCTGGTTTCGATTCGCGGATGCAACTAAACTAGTAGCTTCGCCTTCCAAGTCCTTGACGCGCGAGCTTTGTCTGTGTTTTGTTTATGCTTTGGGTTTTTCCAGTTCAGAGTAGAGATTTAGAGCAGCTACAGGGCTCTCGTTCGCAGCAGCTGGTCCAGCGGCATCGGCAGACCAGCCTACAGCCCTGCGAGCATGATTGAGCGACATTATGTAGAGGCGACTGTGCTATGACAGCTCTACGAGTTCCCTGGCTCACACCACGGCCCAGGACGTCGCGGCTCTCAGATCGTCTCCCGCCTGGGGATCCCCCGCAAAGCACTACGGGTGACGCCAGCGAGCTCTTACAGCGCGCCGCCGTGCGTTAGCTGTCTACGCATCTCCGTTTGCATCTGTGCTGGGATTGACCGATGCGTCTTTGCGCTTGTGTTCTAGTGTGCCTCTTGGCTACCCGTGCCAGTTCGATTTCTTCAAATTGCATGCGAGTGTCAAGATTTTTGTGCTGCAGGGCATCCCAGTGTGTGGCAGGGTCCTCGTGCGCGGCGGGAACTTTGCGCGCGTCTCGTGTTCCGTGACGCGCGCGGCAGCGGGAACTCTGCGCGCGCCGTGTGTTCCACGACACAGAGCATTCGAATCGCGGATTCACAAGTGAGCAATCATCCTTTCCATGGATCTTTTTCAAGTATTACGACAAGGTGTCAGACAATACCCGTATATACTTTATATTTGTACATCGATCTTTGTGTGCTGTCATCGTACCCGACATTGCGTAACTCCTCCTGGCGGGGGCTTCTGTGGTGGGGAGCGCTATCTTGGATTGATCTTTCGGGTCCCCTCTACGTCATGGGTCATCTCGACCTTCCTGCGCGAGCATGACACGCGCGGGAGTGGGCGCATGAGGGGGGAAAGGTTGAGGGCGCTCTTTCCTTCGCTCGGGTGCTTGAGGCAAACGCCGGCGGCAAGTCAAACGCAACGCTTGGGGGCCGACGTGGTTCTACTTTGTTGCGTCCCGTGTTGCAGCGACGCAGTGCTCTGCGCAGAGTTTGCAGCATAGTTCCCCATTTTCATATGTTTCTCAGTGTTCTTGAGTTGTCGTATGCTTCCGACGCCGCCGCTTCCGCATTTGTGATTAGTACCGTATTCGCCACTCGTTCGCTCTACGACGTGAGGAACGGGAACCGCCTTTGTCACTTGAGCATTTTGGCCATTCTTCTTGGTACATGGTCATGATCTTCCCGTAATCGATGAGCACGTACTGCATTTGTTTATTCCACTACCTTGTTGATCGTGTTAGCTCTCTTGAATGAATGTCGTTACGCTTATGGTTGTCCATTGCCATCTCCTTCTCGAGCTGTGAAAGAAACATATCGGCTATCATGGTAGCGGAGCGAGGTTGTGAGGTGGCCTGCCCACGATACCGCTGCGCATTCCTCCGAGGTGCCTCGGGGAAGCGCCTGTGCGGCTGGCTCTGCCGCGGACGAGACTGGCTGGCAGCTGGTCTCTGGATCGCCGGTCGAGAACTGGGCGATCTTCGTGAAGGGCTTGCTGCAGCTGGCGCGCCGCAGGCGCCGGTAGCACTGCGAGGGCGAGGCCCTCAAGATCATCGAGGCGCGAGGCAAAGCAGTCACCGATCATGGACGAGGCTCGCGTCGCCCAGATCGAGCAGGCGCTCGCGACGGCGCAGCAGCAGCAGCAGCAGCAGCAGCAGCAGCAGCAGCAGCAGCAGCAGTAGCTGATCCAGCAGCTGGCGGCTCAGGCCCAGGCTGCCGAGGCCCGAGCGCAGGCGGCGGAGGCCGCGGCTCAGGCGGCGCGAGAGCCCGGGCCGCAGCAGCCAGCCGGCCAGCCTGGTGGCATGCAGCCGGGAGTGAACCGGTTGATTGATACGACGGTCCTCGGGAAGCCACGCGACTTCAACGGCGAGCCGGGGACCTGGCGTGACTGGAGCACGATCTTTCGAGCTGACTCCAGCGCCTGCGAGCCGGCCCTGACGGAGCTCATGGAGAGGGCTGAGCACTCGGACGAACCGGTGCTCAACGCAACGTTGCCTGAGGAGCAGGTGCGTCTCACTTGTCAAATCTACTACATGTTGGTCATGCTGAATAAGGGTCTCTCTCTCTCTCTCTCTTTCGATCGCATCGTCAGTGCGGGCGTGAATGAGGGGCTGGAGGCTTAGAGGATGCTGGTCACCTTCCATGAGCCTCCGAGCCGCACCCGTGCGGCAGGTCTTCTACAGGAGTTGCTTTCGTGGGACTTCGAAGGCGACGTCCCCTCGAAGCTGATCGCCTTCGATCGGAACGTCAAGCGCTACGAGCAGGTGGTCGGCACCGAGTTTCCCGACGAAATCAAGATAGGCATCCTGGTCCGCTCTCTCAAGGAGGACCCGCTGCGCCACCACCTGTTGCTCAACAGCCAGCGGCTGGACACATGGGAGCTGGTGAAGGCGGAGGTGGAGAACTTCAGGCGGGCCCAGATCGCGACTACTGCAAGTGCTGGTGCGGGCTTGGCTCCGATGGACATCGGTTCACTGGCAAAGCAGCTAGCGGCTCTCGGCTTCAAGGGTGGCAGGATCGGCAAGATCGGCAACGGCAAGGGCAAGATTGGCAAGCTCGGCAAAGGCAAGGGCGCCGACGATGTGCCAACCCAGCCTTGCCCGATCTGCGGCAAGATGGGCCACTGGAAGCGTGACTTTTGGTGGAACTCTGCGGCTGCGTCTGGTAAGGTGCCGCCGAAAGGTGGCGGAGGCCGAGGTCGCGGCAAAGGCAAGGACGACGGCAAGACTGGCAACGTGCCGAAGCCGAGGCCATGCTGGACCTGCGGCTCGACGGCGCACCTGCGCAAGGACTGCCCGGTCGCGAAGAAGGCCGGCACCATCGGAGAGATGGCTGAGCCGGGGCCTCCCGAGGGCTTGGGCGACCTCTTCGTGCCTCAGCGCGACAGGCGAGCCGATCCACGACGAAGGCCAGCGCAAGCTCATGGTGCAGACTGGCGGCGCGCTGCGTGGCATCAGGGCCCGGGTCGCGGGCGTCAGGAGGCCGCTGCTCTCGGTCCTCGACTTGGTGAAGAGCGGCCACCGGATGGTCTTCGAGCAGGATCAGTACGGCACCGACATCAGCCACGCCGTCCACGTCGAGAGCGTCAAGATGGTGCGCTTCACGCAGAGGCAGCGCACGTGGGACCTGGACGTGAGCATCGACGAGTTTCAACCTGCCCCTGTTCGAGGTCGACGCGGGCCGAAGGAGCCTACTCAGGCAGCGCTCGAGCAACGCGAAGCGGCAGGTCACGCCCCCTTCTGGGACTGGTGCTACTGCTGCCTGGCTGGACGTGGCCGTGCAGATAGCCGCCCAGCGGGCGCTCCTGGGAGAGCGCATGCGATACCGACCATCGCGGTGGACTACGGGTACCCCGTGAAGCGGGAGGAGGTGGAGCGGGGCCAGTCGGTGCTCCCCATCCTCGTCGGCATCGGCTCAGCCAGTTCGCGCGTCAACGCTGACGTCCTCCCGTTCAGGGGTATCCAGCATGAGTGCAAAGTGGTCCGCGCCTTCGGTCAGGTGGAGGCGACCCGCCACCCGAAGATCATCTCCCAAGTCCGATGGTGAAGGCGCCTTGGTGGCGCTCAAGCGAGAGGCGACGAGCCGCCTCAGGAATGTGAAGATCGAGGTCGTGCCCGAGCAGGCGCCAGCCTACGACAGCGCCAGCAACGGCCTGGCGGAAGTGGCAGTCAGGGAGGTCAAGGGCGTCGCACGGCCCCTGAGGGTCGCCCTGTCCCTGCTGCGTGGCGTCGACAACCCGAACGACCATCCAGTGTTGACCTGGCTGGTAGCCCGCGCTGCGGGATGCGTCGACCGCGGCGAGATCGGCGCCGATGGCTGGGCGCCGCGCGAGAGGCCCAAGGGCAAGGCCTTCTGCAAGGTGCTGCCGCCTTTCGGTGAGATCATCGTGTTCCTCCCGGGTACGAGGCGCGAGACGAAGTGCGAGGGGCGCTGGTAGATCAGGGTCTTTCTGGGCGTCATCGAGAAGTCGAGCGAGATGCGCGTCGGCTACGACCGCAGGGTCGCGCGCGCGCGGTCGATCGGGAGAAGGCCGCCGAGCCAGCAGGGCCGACGCGGCCCTGCTGCTCTCCATTAGGGGCGCGCCGTGGATGCCGACCCCAGTTAAGCCGGAGAGCGTTCGCATCCCGACGGTCATCGACGAGCCGCCTGTCGACGCCGCGGTGCAGCAGTCGAGAGTCGTGCCCGAGCAGGTCCCGGCTGAGCCTCGGAACGTCTACATCCGCTGGAGCGTGGAGCCGGCCAAGTACGGCATCACGGACGGGTGCCCAGAGTGCCGCGAGCGCATCCAGCAGGCCGTGACGGACGACCCAGAGCTCGCTCCCCGCGCTTTCGGGGCAGCGGCTCGCCGGCTGGAGGCCGCTGACAGGGCGCCTGCGCGCCAGGGGGGCGCGGGCGCTGGGGCGCCCGTTTGCGCAGCTCGCGCGGCTGAGGCGCCGATGGAGATCGAGCGACCTGGCCGACAGGCTGTTCCGCGTCGGGGCTCGCCTGCGGAGCTGCCGCAGGCCTTGAGGCGTCGCCTCGCGGCGCCAGGGGGCCCGGCGCTCTACGCGCCCGCGATCAGCGGCGAGTAGCCGGGGGCGCCAGCGCAGGCGCCGGCCACGCCGCCGGCGCAGGCCGCTGGGCCGAGCGGGCTGCTGCAGGCGCCGCCTGGGGCTCGGGGCTCCACGGGCGCGGACTCGCTGGAGCTCTGCGCGCTGCTGGCGGCTATCGGCGACTGGAGGGTGGCCGTCAGCGAGCTGTGCGGGCCGGGGCGCTTCGCGTCGCGGTCGAGCCAGCCTCATCGAGAAGCTGGCGACTGGATGATCCGGGAGATCGCCGAGATGCCTGGAGTACATTGCGTTGAGTGTGATCAATGTGCGTACGGGTTGTGTTGCAACGATGCCATCGGCCCGGCGCCGGTCAAGAAGCCTACGGGCTGGCTGACCAACTCTGACGAGATCGCCTGGGAGCTGACGCGCAGGTGCCCTGGGTGCGTTCGGCACTGCAAGACGGTCGGCCTGGGGCGACGCGGCGTGCGCGCCATCGAGCGGTGCCCGCCGGGGCTGGTGGCTGCGGTGCTGCGCGGGCTGCGCCGTGAGGCGGTCGCGCGCGGCCAGCTGGGCGCGCTGGAGGCCAGGCCGCGCCTCGACGAGCCGCCGGTCTGGGACGCCTACCCAGAATACTACGCGGAGATCGTCGACAACATCAGCGGGGCCGCCTTGGACCCCGAGCTTGTGGCAGCTGGCCGCAAGGAAGAGATGGAGTTCCTGCGCGGCCTGGGCGCCTACGCGTGCGACTCCAAGCAGCGCGGCCGCGAGGAGACCGGGCGCGACCCGGTGCCTATGGTCTGGGTGGATGTCAACAAGGGCGACGAGCGCAAGCCCAACGTCCACTGCAGGCCGTGCGTGGCAGAGACACGGTACCGCGCGAGCATGCACTTGGGGGGCCCGTCGCAGACCTTCAGCGCGACGCCCCCGTGCGAGGCGCTCAGGATGCTAATCTCCTTCTGCTGCTCGCCCTGGAACGTTGAGGAGGACCATCGCGTGCTCATGTTCCTGGGCGTCGCGAGGGCTCACCCGCACTGCGAGATGAAGCGGAAGCTGTGGGTGAAGCTGCCGCAGGAGGACCCCGATGTGCGCGGGTTACTGGTTCGGTGCGTCTACGGCTGCCGCGACGCAGGCCAGAACTTCTCAGCTGCTGGTTTGCGAGACGCTGGAGGGCAAGATGGGCTTCGCTTGTGGCGTCTGGTGCCCCTGTATCTACCGCAGTGGCGACGGCAAGCTCGTGGCCTACGTCTACGGCGACATCTTCGTGCTGAAGGGCTCTCGCAGCGACAACCTGGAGTTCCACCGCGAGCTGCAGAAGCACATGTGGGTCAAGCTCGAGTGCATGCTGGGGCCCAACAAGAGTTCGGATAATGTTCAGGAAGTTGCGTGCCTGAACCGCATCTTCCGCTGGACCTCGAGAGGCGACGTCGAGCTCGAGGCGGGCTCTCGCCGCGCGCTCGTCATGTTGCAGCAGCTGGGCCTCTGGCGTGAGTCGAATGCGCTCACGACGCCAGGTGTGAAGCCCAAGAGTGCGGACCGTGGCAGGGTCCTGGAGGGCGATGAGGCGACTCGCTACCGCAGTCTGGCCATGCGGGTCAGCTACCTCAGCAAGGACCGCCCGGACATCAAGTACGCCGTGAAGGAGGCGGCGATGTGCATGCACGAGCCGTGCGAGCACGGCGTGGAGCGGGTCAAGAGGATCGCCAGGTACCTCTTGGGCCGGCCTCGGCTCGTCCAGCGTTTTCGTCGCCAGCTTTGGCCAGGTGTGCTCAAGGGCTTCTCGGGCAGCGACTTCGCGGGCTGCCTGGAGACCCGGAAGGGCACGAGGTGCGGCGTCTTCCAGCTGGGGAACCACGTGATCAAGGTCTTCAGCGCGACGCAGGGCAGCGAGGCGCTCAGCTCTGGCCAGGCCGAGTGGTAGGCGCTGGTGCACGCGGCGTCCTGCGGCATCGGCCTGGTCTCGCTGGCGCGCGACATGAGGTATGAGTTAGAGCTGTGCTTGGCTGGCGACGCGACGGTGGCCTGTGGGATAGCCCACCTCCGTGGAGCGGGACGTATCAGACACATCGAGACGAAGACCTTGTGGCTCCAGCGTCATGTGACCGAGCGCCGCGTCCTCCTCTCTAAGACGCCGGGCAGGGTCAACGTGGCGGACCTAGGCACCAAGCACCTGACCCAGAAGGAGCTAGATGAGATGCTGGAGCTGCTAGGCTTCTACGTGGCTACGGGGAGGTCTGGCCTCGCTTTCGCGATCGCGGGCAACTTGCTCGAGCCGGAACCGGCTTGCGACCGCGAGGGCGACGAGGAGATGCAGGCGTGAGTTCCGTGAGTGTGCTTGTGGTGAGGCAGCAAATTTTCCATTCAGCTTCGCTGTAGCAACCCGGAGGTCGCCTGGGTCGAGGGAGCTCGACGCGAAGGCGAGGAGGGCTGATCGGGTTAGCTCTCTTGAATGAATGTCGTGCTGATTATGGTTGTCCATTGCCAGATCCTTCTCAAGCTGTGAAAGAAACATATCGACTATCACTTGTTGACGCCGCTCCTCGTGTTGTTGCCGTGCTCTTCTCGTGTGGCTTTCTCTGGGCGCTGTCGCGTGCTGCGCTGGAGGCGATTGGGTCGCGTGGCGTTCATCTTGTGCAGATTTTTTTTTTTTTTTTTTTTTTTTTTTTTTTTTTTTTTTTTTTTTTTTTTTTTTTTTTTTTTTTTTTTTTTTTTTTTTTTTTTTTTTTTTCCTTTCTGTGTATGATACCTGTGTCTCCTCTTATTTTTAGTTTTGTTTGCGTGGTGCGGGGGTGCTGCCAATCTTGTCATCGTACGTATTGTGCGACTTGCACTTGCAGCCCGTGTGGGCATATGTGCTACAACAGAGTGTACGAAGCTGGTCTTAACGTATCATTCTCTTTATCGCGTGGTATCCGTTCGATGCAGTTTCGATGGGGGTGTCTGTGCTGGAGGGTTTGGATGCGGTTGCTGGTTACATATTGGTTTGATATCGAGATTCGACAACTCGATGTGTTCTCGGACCGTTTGGACGCCATTAGTCCAGTCGGCCTTCATACCCGATCTCATTGCAACAGTGGCAGACTCGGGATATCCAGCAGCAGAGTGTACCATCGATACATTACCACGGGTTCTTCACACGTACTTTGGCAAGTGGTTGTGTTCTATGTGATTGCTGTGCATCTGATTCTCATGCATTGGCTTGTGCGGTCGTGCGCTTCTTGATGTGACGCACCTTCGGTATAAGAGTTGCTCGGCCCCCGCCTTGTGACATGCTGCCATCCAGTGTCCTGTCGTTTCTTTCTCCGACTGGGCCAGTAGGCCCGTTCAGTCGCTCGCCGAGCCCGCAGAACTTTGATTGACGGTCTCACGCCAGCGCCCAGAAATTCGGAATATGTGTTGGCCTGGCCATTCGTTTTGTGGGAGTTTTTTTTTTTTTTTTTTCTTCCCCCCCTCCCCTCTCCGGGCAACTTCGATATTATTTGTGCTCGCCGTCTTGATCTCAGGTCGATCGGACCATTTCGAAGAAGGAAAACTGATAGTGGGGGGAACCCGCCCTGAAACTATATTTCTATTGCGTTTAGCTTCCAGACTTAATCTTGATAATTAGAGCAGCCACAGGGCTCTCGATGTTACCGATCGATTCAGCAGCTTCGAAAGCATTCGTCTAGAACCTCGAGAGGTCTGGGATCAGTCACTTCCTCGGGCTATGATCCCAAGATTCATCGCACTCTGCAACCGCTCTTGCTATATCGAGATGTGTTGAGTTAGACAATCTCGAACTTTGATAAAGCAGCTACATCGCTTTTGGCCGCATCAGTGGATCCAGCACCCTCGAAAGCATTGGTCTAGAGCCTCGAAAGGCTCGCTTTCAGTCTTCTACTCGAGCGGTGGTTTTAATTAGGTGCACTCTGCAGCCACGGAGCTCTTGGTCACACGACTGGATATAACAGCCTCGGGACCATTGCTTCATAGTCTGAAGAGGCCTGATAGCGATCTCCTACCCGAGACATGACGGCAAACTCAAGCTTACTCGGCAACTGCTCTTGCTATATTGCAATGCGTCGCTTGGAAGATCTCGACATTCCGAGCAGCTACAGGGCCCTCGATTACGCGAGTGGACTTGACAGGCTCGAAAGCACTTGTCTACAGCCCCGATAGGTTTGAGACCGGTCCCCCACTCGAGCTATGACAGAAATCATTGATGCCACTCCGCAAGTATTTTGTGTTAACTCGAAGTAACCGGTTCAAAACATGCTTGTCGTAAGTTTGGTTTCGGAGCTCTGGCTGTGCGAGCGTGCTGCTACGGCCAGCAGCTCCCCCCGCCTGAGGTTCTAGTGGCGACATTCCCCGGCGCCCATTTTGGCACGCCCCTCACGCGATTCGTGGCAACGTTCCTATGCGTCCCCGCCACCTAGTTTTGCACACCCTTCACGCGTCTTGTGATTCCATAGGGTGCTCCAACGAAGGATCCAGTGGCGACGTTCCCATGCGCCCCCGCCGCTCGTTGTGGCGCGCCCCTCGCGCGGTTCGTGCCCCCATAGGGAGCTCCACCGAAGGCCCCAGTGGCGACGTTCCCATGCACCCCCGCCACCAATCTTAGCACACCGTTCGCGCGTGCTGCGTGACCCCATAAGGAACTCCACCTCGGGCTCCCGTGGCGACGTTCCCATGCGTCCCCGCCACCCAGTTTGGCGCGTCCCTCGCACGGTTCGCGGCCCCGTAGGGAACTCCACCTAAGGCTCCAGTGGCGGCTTTCCCATGCGTCCCCGCCTCCCATGTTGGCACGCCCCTCGCGCGGTCTGTGGCCCTATAGGGAGCTCCACTTAACGCCCCAGTGGCGACGTTCCCGTGCGCCCCCGCCATCCATTTTGGCACACCCGTGACACAGTTCGTGTCCCCATAGTGAGCTTCACCTAACGTTCCAGGGGCAACGTTCCGACGCGTCCCCGTCGGCACACCCCTGACACGGTTCGTGGCCCTTCAGGGAGCTCCACCTAACGCTGCAGTGGCAACGTTCCCATGCGCCCCCGTCGGCACACCCCTCACACGGTTCGTGGCCCCAGAGGGTTCTCCACGTAAGGCCCCCGTGGCGACGTTCCCATGCGCCCCCGCCGTTGATTTCGGCACGCCTCTCACACGGTTCGTGGCCTCATAGGGAGATCCACCGAAGGCCCGAGTGGCGAAGTTCCCATGCGTCTCCGCCACACATTTGGGCACGCCCCTCACACGGCTCGTGGCCCAACGGGGAGTTCCACCGAAGGCTCCAGTGGCGACGTTCCCATGCGTCCTCGCCACCCATGTGGGCACCATGTGGGCACACCCCTCGCACGATTCGTTGCCCCATTGGGAACTCTACCCACGGCTCTGGTGGTGACTTTCCCATTCGTCTCCGCCGCCAATTTTAGCACACCCCTCACACGGTTCGTGGCCCCATAGGGAGCTCCACCGAAGGCTCTTTGGCGAGGCTCCCATGCGTCCCCGCCACCCATTTTCGGCACGCTTCCCACGTTTCGTGGCCCCATAGGGAGCGCCACGAAAACGATATCCACAATTGCCGTACTCACATGTTCGGGTGGCTGGGTCCTTCGCTAGGCTATTTTTTCAACAGCAGGGGCGGTAGTTTGTTTTGGTCCGCCTTACGATCGCACCTTGTGGCGACCGACCAGATCAGTGCGCCCTGGGCGGATGCGTGTTTGTCCAATCCTAATTTCTAGTCTTCGCGTGCAATGGGCAACGGCTTATTTCGCCCCGCCTCGCGCGCGCACCATTGGAGGATTGACTGCACAAGTGTGCGCCAGGCTTGTCCAGCTCTATCATGGGACCTCGCCGACATCCAGGTGGGCACGTTTTCAGCGTATCGATCAGAGGCTGGCCGCCACGCCCCATGCAAACAAATATCTCCGGACAAACCTATGGGCGTCCCACGAGGTTGTTAGAGAGCTTTTACATCAGTTTCGAAACAAAGGCTTGCATTGTTCCAAACGGGTCTCAGAGTTGTCAGTTCAGGACGCTTCCAAGAGGGCCTTGGGCAATGACATGCGCTTGTAAGACACCCACCATGAAGGGCTTCTCGTGAACAGGCGATTCGCAATCAGATGGTTTGGTTCGTCTCTGGGATCCGCTTGGCATGGGTGCACCCTGTGTTCTGTGCTCGTGAGAACCTAAGCGCGCGGAACGCGTGTGGATCTAGGCCCGAAGGGGCCTCGGTCTCCTTTCTCCATGGCGGGACTGGGCCCAGAAGACAGCCTGCTAAAACTCTCGGAAGGCGCCAGGGAATCCGAAATGGGCAAGAAAACGCGACAAGAGGCCTCCCAAAAGGGCCCAAGAAGCGCTCGAACGCCTCCAAGACGGTTCATGGCAGTCCCGACGAGGACTCTTGGGATGCTTCGAGGGGCAAAACCATCTTCGGATTCACTTTTTTTGCAGTCGTCCGAGCGACCGAGGCAGCCAAAGAGGCTTCCAATATCGGCTCAACACCGCCCAAAGGGCCCAAAGAGGAGCCCAAGCTGGCCCGCCCTATTGCCCAAGAGAGCCTCCAGACGCCCCACGAAGTCTCGCGGCGAGGCTCATGGCGGGAGAAGAGGGCCCACAAACGGCCCAACAAAGGTTGCAGCAGGAGAGGGCGCGGGAACCCGTCACGGGTAACACATCGTCGTCTTAACTTCTTGGGGGGCTCTCATGGAGTTCATTTGGGCCTCTTGGGGCTGTCTTGGGCTCCTGTGGGGCGCCATCTTTGGGCCCTCTTGGGGCGTCTTCTGGTCCCTCTTAGGCTATCTTTGGGGTCTGTTAGGCCGCTTTGGGGTCGCGGCAGTGAGCTGCAGTGAGCGAGGGGATGTTTTCCCTAGCCAATGAAGTGTATTGTGCGGTTCCATCTTGTTTACGCTTGTGTCCAAAACGTCATCCGCAGTTGTGTTCCCCTTTGTGGTCAGAGAGTGAGTCCAACAATTGCTTGCTAACGTCGGTGGTTGACGTGCCTTCAGCTCTGGACCACGGGTCCCCTGTCGTAATCACCAGTCGTGCTAGCTGGAGAGCGCGTCTACCATGCCACAGAGGTTCGCTGTGTCAAGTCGGCCTGCCCTCAAAGTTCGGGCCGCATCCGCCGTGAAGGACACCCTGGAACTTCGGCTCTGTCGTTACGCTTGATCCTGTCTTCAAGGGGATCCTCCATCCTCTCTCCACCCTCCTCGCCCCCCCCATTTCTTCTTCCCTCGTCCCTCTGTCCCCGCTCTCCCTCCTCCCTCCCCCCCCTTGCTCCCCATCTTGCAGATCCTCCTCGTGTCGGCTCCCAGGTCCCGCCACGGCGGAATACCAGGCACATCC